TTCAGTTGTACGCACAGCTAAACAGAACTGGTATTTACCTGGATTTCAACTTTTTTAGAGAAGATGCCCGTCTCATATTTTCAGAAAGCATAAATCTGAAACGCTGTCTCCCCATTTTTAGTCAAGACTATGGGCACCAGCAGGAGTCCAGTCCCTGTGCTCCTCAGAGTCTGGGCCGGTTCATATGGTACTAACATGTCACAGATGTACTTTGATGCGAGGCCATGGAGAGACTTGTAATAAGCAGAGCTGTTTTAAAGTCTATTCTCTGAGCCACAGGAAGCCAGTGCAGAGACCTGAGGACCGGACTAATGTGGTCGTACTTCCTGGTTCTAGTCAGGACTGGAGCTGCGGCATCTTGAATGTACTGCAGCTGTTTTACAGCCTGTTTGGAGAGCAGCCATTACAGAAGTCTAACCTACTGGAGACAAATGCTTGGATAAGAATCTATCTCCAAGTCTTATTTTGACCAAATGTCAAATGTTAAATGTTAGAATTATTACCCCTAGATAGCTGATCTGATTTGAAGATGTTTGGGAGAGAGACTGAAGGTGACAGATAAAAGATATAACATAGTTTGTATTTACCAAACAATATGCAAGTCACAGTGGATCAATTCTCTCTGCAGAGTCTGTTCACACTAGAGCACATATATAGGGATGATACAAGAATACGCTGAACACTCTCACATGACTTGAACAAATTGAACAAAATGGCATGATCAAATTGCCCTATGTATTTATTGTAAATATTCCATGGTGGTTGAATGAAGGGCTCCGTCAGTCCTTTTGGACCCTTGCACTGTTCAGAGTAAACACATGTGTCACAGACAGTTTTGGTGGATGTGTTGCAAAAGGCTGTTTCACAATTTGTGTCCAGGATCGATGAGGCGGGCTCTGAGCCAGCCCACAGAAGCATACAATATATGACCGCACAGTCGGTTCATTAAATTAGCACATGAAGCAAACATCACAGTCAGTGGTGTTCCAAGGGTACCCCGAGGCCCCAGGCAACAGAGTCCTTGGGAGCCCCAATACCGACCTCATAACCAGATTTTGTAATCCTACAAAATCTAATCTTTTGGTGTTTATATAGCCTATATAAACACCAAGGGCCGAATGAAAGATTTGGCCCTTGATGTTGTTTTTACCTTTTACCGTTCTTGAGCAATCTGTCATAGAATATAATATATATAGTTTAATCCAAAAAAAAGATCACACTAGGATTCGAATTTGGCTCGTCACGGCGCAAGAGCTGCAACTTAACCACTAGGCCACTATAACATACAACACTTCTTTTCCTCCAGGCAGGGTTTTTAACTATTAATGAAGAACTTAGCAAGTTTTTATCCGCCAACTCGTCACTGCAGGAAGCTGTTGTAGCCTGTACAAGTCGACCGCTTGTGTCAAATCAGTCGGCCCTTGGGGGCCCTCTGCCGGTTTGGGGGCCCCAGGCAGCTGCCTGCCTTGCCTAATGGCAAGGGACGCCTCAGATCACAGTGAAGATAAACTAAAAGTAATAAAAGTAGAAAATGTGATTCAGGTGTTTGCTTTACAGAAAACTATTGGCTCAAGCACTTTAGCTGGTTATGTTCATCCTGCTAGTTCATCCCTTTCTGAGCAACATAACTCAGAAAGTTATGAGAGGATTTGGTCAAAATTCAAGAAATTTTAGTAATGGCCCAGTGAACAACATTTCTGGACCGAGATTTCCAAGGTTGATCACCAAGGGCACTTCTGTCAGTTTTACTTTCCAGCTTCTCTCTGAGCCCTTTTTCTCAAGCTTTTTTTCCTGATACTGTACCTGTTACCATTGCTTCCATCACCACCACCAGTTTCCCATTTAGACCTTGGGGTTTCCAGCCCATACTCTGCACAGATGTTTCTGTACACTATGCCAGCCACTTGGTTATTGCGTTCCATGTAGGCCTTCCCTGCAGCATCTTGCACCCTGTAGTTATTGGATCACCTCAGGTGCCTCTTTGCACAACCGACACCTTGGGTCTTGTCTGGTGTGGTATATCTGGGCCTCTGTCGCTCTGGTGCTCAGGGCCTGTTCCTGTGCAGCCATGTTGAGTGCCTCTGTCCTGTAGGCCAGCCCTTTCTAGCCATTGGAAGGACTTATTTGGATCAGCCACTTCTGCTATGTTCTGTGTGAGGGCTTGTCCTACCATTATTTACTGGCAGCTTGGTCGCTGAGTCAGTCGTGTTTCTCCAGACCTCTCTGTGTGGAGTTTGATTGTTTCTCGCTGTGGCTATGTTCATTTTACCTGTATTGTAAATGCTAACTATAGGCCATTTTATTTATCAATTCTTTGCATCCTGTAAACCTGCTGTCACTTTGCCACTGCCCAGGGACTACGAGTGAACATAAGCTTGTAGCTATGTCCGGTCTGAACAATACATTTATTGTGCAATGTACCTGTCAAATAAAGAAATAGAATTAAATACATTTAAAAACATAACATACACATATTTTTTAATCTCAGTGTGAGAGATAGCCATTCTGCAGTTTTTATGACTCAAATTGAGATGCTTCTGTAATAAAGAAATAATGCAAGAACGTATGTTTTTGAGGTCCTTGGTCTCTTGACCCTCCTCTGAGTTGTGATTTTTTTTGGTGGGATGTACAGTGCAGTAAAAGAACAGGCAGGTGATGTAAGATACACTTGTTAAATGAATTTCTTTTAGATTCAATTCAAGTCTATCTCAAAGTTCTATCTCTTGTTTAATCTTTTAATCTTTTGTCTGTCTTTTTGATGTAGGCACATCTAAATGTTCTGTATTATAAGGGTGCTATTCGCTGTGGGTGGAGCATTCTCCCCCAGACTTGTTTGCTCATCCCTCTTTCTAATTCTAACCAAATACTTGATTTGTGATCTGAGCGGCTGATTCAGGCAAAAGCCACTTGCCACTCTTCCCTCATTATGGCAGAGGTGAGCAGTGCTTTTGAGGTGAAAGTTTGAGTATAAAAGACTTTAGACAACATATAACTCTCTCACACAGTGCATGTAATTCCTTTTGTTTTCTAGGAAACAGAAATGTCAACTGTGCTTGTCTTTATGATGTCACAGATTAGACGTCTGAGGGAGAGAGAGTGATCAAGGAGTGCTCCTTACAAAGTCCTATGCATAATCTTATCAAAGCACTATCTCCCAACGATACAAGCATACTGAGTATCTGGGGTCGCCTTTACATATAGACTTTTCCCCCTTCTGTTTAGGCATGAAAAAATGTCCTCAAAATGACTCCAGTCTAATTTGTTTGACCACAGATCATAGTCTGTTTCATTTTGAAACTGAATTGAAGTAGGACAGTGTGAAGTATGCAAAATTCAAAAGTCCTGGAAGTAGATGTAAATGTAGCGTTTTTTTTGTGCTGAGTGCGCAATAATAATATCTATTTTTATTTAAGCTTTATTTAGCCCGGGCTAGACAGTAGCTTAGTTGGTAGAGCATTGGCCTTTGGGCCAAAAGGTCATGGGTTCGAGCCCACCTTGGGACCTACTCTAACTGCTCCCACTAATGTCTGCTGTCACTTAACCCCACATTGCCTGAAGCTTCCTCTGAAACACCAGGGCTGTGGCACCACTGCAGCAGTCATCTTCCTGTGGAGACAGAGGATCAGCGAGGGACTGATGAGCATTGGGTGGCAGCTCTCAGAAATGGACTAATAAAGGAGTAGAAAATGAATGAATTAATGAATTAGCCCAGGCTGCAAGACTTTGATTCAAAGACCTGGCCAAAAGGCATCACCAGACATTATGTTCTAAAACCATACACTAAATGTCAGCAGTTCATGAAAGAAAACGTATTTGTTGGCCATTTTTAGACAGGGGTCATAATAAAGAAGTCCCAGTCTGTAGGTGCCCGATACTGAAATGACGGTCCAACACTTGAGGTCCCTCACACCCGAGGAAAGGGAAAATAGATTTATTTGTAAAGATTTTTCAGACCAAATAATTGTAAATTGGATACAAATCTCAAATGCTTGTCTTACACACTTTGGAGGCCCTTGCAGTGGTTCTAAGGCCTCCATATTCATGATTTAGATCATCCCAAACTCCCAGCCCACAGGCTTTCATCAGGGGAAAAACCAGTTTGTTTATAGCTCATAGAGAGTGCCTTATTTTATAAACATTTAACACATCAAAGAGCACCTCTGACATTCATTACTGCATTTGAGATACAGGAAACATTCTTCTTCTACCTTTTTTACTGGAGGCATGATACTTCTTTAAGGAATTGAAGTAGAATTGCAGCAAATGACTTCAATAAAGTGAAATCACAGTAAACCAGTCTTTTGAGGGTGACGTAAACTTCACTGTGATGCCTGCTGCGAGGGCCTCTGGTCTACAGAGCAGGAACAGAGGTTGCTGCACAACATAACAATAGCATCAATAACAGGAATGAAGTGGGTTTTTTTTTTAGCTCTTTCCACACTAATATCAGGAACAAATCTGCTCCAACATGTCCCTCTGTACCTTCTGTCTAAATGCCCTCATCTCAAACTTGTTACACTTGGATGATTCCTCAGACTATGATGCAACTCTCAAGTCTTTGTGCCGTGCTGGGTATGATTTCCCATTAGCAGGTGTATTATCACTCATTCTATACTATTTACAGTATATCCATATTTCTTCTTCTCCAAAAGGATTCTATATTCTACATGTAACAGCTCTGTACATAACGTCATGGTCGTGTTATTGGCCAAAATGAACACAAAGAATGCACATTTCTTCTGCGTTATTTCTTCTGCTCATGGTCCCATCCCGACATGTGAAGATAAACTGTATATAATCATAAATGTATGTCCTAGTGCTGTATCGTTGCGTGTGTGTCAAACCTTTTGCCTTTGTCCCTCCACACTGAAGCCCAGGCTGGACTCTGGACCCCAGGTCAGCCTCACAGCACCAACTATAAAAGAACACGTCCAAGGCGTCTCCAGCAGTCTCGACCGAGTACTCGCCAACCCCAAGAACAGAGCTGAACCGAACCCACCATGTGGGACACGAAGCTCTGCCTCCTGCTGCTGCTCTGCCTAACCCTGACCTGTGAGTACCACCAGACCCTCTTTGGATTTACAGATTTGGATCCATTATGGCCGCTCACTTCTGCAAATTTAGTTCAGATTTGTCTCAGAATATTGCCTAGTTCCCCCATTGTTGTTAAAGCTGGGGTATCAAACTTTGTACATCAGACTACTTGCTACTTTTATCTATTAAGAAAACATGTTTACATACTTGTAAGAAAGTGCCCTGTGTGTTACTATCCGACTCTTTGGGATGAGAGATGATTGGCTGAGGGAGTGTGGTCCTCATCAGTTTTGAGAATAAGGAGCTTTTTAGGCTTGATTTGTGGTTTGAAAGTGATGAACTCCAGCTTTAAAGGAAACACACTCTCAAAAATCTGTTTAAAGTTTGAGACATGTTATACAGTTATAAATTAAGCAAATGTATGATTTTTCCCATTTCTATTGGTTCAAAATTTCCAGTCATATGACACTCTATACATCTGTGAGCCCTCAGAACACATCATCTTGGATTGAAAAGTATTTAAAACTAAAGAGTAATGCAACTTCTGTTTTTATTTGCACAAGTTACAAATATTCATATTCAATTATCTACAACAAAACAAGATAAAAAAAATTATTTTCTGTGTTAGAAAATGTGTTGAACAAAGACAAAGTAAATCTCTAAGAATATCTGGGACAACTCAAAGTAACTGTTCCATGGTTGTTTACTGCGTCCATAACACATTCTAAATAGTGAAGCAGTAAGTACGTTCTAATTATTATTATGCGGTTCATTCAGTTCATGAACACAGAGTTTTGGACCAAAATAAAATATGGTCATGTATTAACATCCAAACTGGAAAAAACTCTCATGTGTGACATGTGTTCACTTGGAATCACTTTATATAATATAAATATAAATGATTACTGTGAAATGGTTTCTCAAAGTTGCTCACTCATTGTTAAAGACTTGTTGTGCAGTTCCTTCGGTTCCTAACTTGTTGATTGATATGTGCTGATCCGTGCACGTGTGACGTATGAGGTATGGGTGAAAGAACAGAGCTGGAGTAAAGTCCTTCCCAGAGGAGACAGCGTGTCTCTGATAAGTCTGTGATCTTTGGACACACTGATTGGGACTTTCTGCTGTTTGACTGTAAACTCATCACAGTTACGTAATTCTCAATACAGCAGACGCAAAACCTGCTCCACAGCGTTTTCTGTCTTGACTCATATCTTCAATTTTTATTTTGTATTGATTTATAATGAATACTTTAAAATGTTTTGTTTATGATAGAACTACATATACTGACTAACAAATGTAATGTAAAATTGAACATATTTCAGAAAATTAAATACATAATTATTGCACTGAACAGAGTAGTCCTGGTTAAAATGTATAAACTTTGAGTGTGACCACAGCTGCTCTGGGGCAGACACTCACACAGCAGACTCCAACTTTCTGTCCTCCGAGCCTCAGTGCGCTGCAGACCAGACCCATCAGTGACATGTTGTGCCCATGGTCCAGGTGTGACCAGCAGGAGGCGTTCACTGTGCACATTTAAGTCCTGTTCTCAAACCTTTCTAACGGTTCCCTTCTCCCCACAGATGCTCAAGATGAAGAACAAACCTGCATGCGTAAGTCACATTTAACGTCATACATATTCATGATTGTGAAAAAAAAATGGCCTCTCACTGACTTGTGTGTGTGTTTGTGTGTTCAGTGGCCAAACGCTTCAACACCCTGCACAAGTACACTTACCAGTACGAAGCTGAGTCTTTGAACGCCATCAACGGAGCCTCTAAGCTCAAGAATGGACCCAAAGCATCATGCAAGGTATGTGTCCCCAAAGCCCTGGCCCCAGTGTGTGAGTGTATCTGTGTGTGTCTGTGTGTGTGTCTGTATGGGTGCGTGTGTGTGTGCGTCCACTGTAACCCAGAGCAGAGTGTGTGCCCGTTGTAACCCAGACCCCTGTCGCCCCACAGGTGGAGATCGATGTGCCCCAGGCCTGCAGCTTCATTGTGAGGACCAGCGGCTGCGCCCTGAGCGAGGTGGAGTCTGTGAACGCCGACGGAAACGTGGTGTTCAAGACTGCAGCTAGCTCAGACAGCTTCGCCGCAGAGATGGAGAAGTATGACAATCACTGTGACCCTCACCCTTTGGCACTCATCTGCTGCTAATATGACCATACAAGGGTTATTATTACTGGGATATGCTTTCATTCTTTGTTTGCAAAAGCATGATATTTTATCTTGTTTTATCTATGTACTTGTCTTGTACACACTGGGGACTTCTTGCAAATGTATTCCAATGTGGTTTTACTGCAAATTGGAAATACAATGAATCTGATTGGAAAAACCCAGCTCAAAGCCAAAACAGGTTTGAGACACTTAAAATGACCAGAGGCATGGATTCACAAGTTCCATTTGAATTCTATAAGTCTAGTTAAATTATCTCAGTTTAGTTCAGTTCAACCCAAATTCAGTTCACAAATCCATAGACTTTCCACCGCACTCACCGATGCGTGGTAACACTCAATCACTCCGACAAGACTGCAGTACGACTAATCACTCGAGTTTGGCATTGCTCAAACACACGTAAGGGGTGAGATAGGTCCAGGGTTGGAACGAAAGTTGGCAGTATCTTTAATATGCAATCACACGTCCAAAGTCCTGAGTCCTAAATGTTGAGTCCCTTTATCCTAGGTCCTGGTGGTTAACAAGCTTTCCTCTTTCCTGCACAGATACATCCTGAAGGTCCAGGTCAACGAGAAGAACCAGATCAAGCTGTACCCTGAGGAAGGCGAGACCACCAACATCCTGAACATCAAGAGAGGCATCGTGTCGGCCCTGGTCGCCCCCGGCCCCCAGGACAACCGATACACGGTACTTTGGATTTATTTATCAAAAGCACTGTGCTAGTTCTGATTCCCATTCTTAGTCCTGTGTTCATCTAAATGTTCCTATCTCAAGCTTATAACACCTCCAAATCAGTTTTGTGGATTTCATGATCCTTTTAAAAGTGCATGACTCAATTACGCAATTATCGTAATGGATCATCATTATCATAAAACAATATATTCAGCAAAGCCAGTGTCTCCCAAAGTGGGGTCCAGGGGCCGCGAGGGTATTGCAGGGGGGCCGCGAGAAGTATATAAAAATAAAGAAAAATTCACATAATTATTGTATGTTAAATTAATAACATTTTGTTTGTCGAATTAAAATATTTGTGTTCATTATTTGACTTGAATAATCAAACTGCGTGCGTCATTTACACGTTTGTAGCAGAGGCTATTTCCCCCAAATAAAATAACGAGAAGAGCCTATTTTTAACGTTGTCTTCCTGGTTAGTATTTCGGGGGCCGCACAGACCCGTGGGATTTTTAAGGGGACTGCGGTGTTACTGACTTTGGGAAAGGCTGAGCAAAACTATAAGACTTTTGATTTTATTATGTTGACTTTAATAACCTGCCAATGTGTACATAACCCAGTCCTTTTTCATGTCTGTGTTTCTTTCAATTGTAAGCAGCAGCGTGGCTTTAATGAGCATGTGTTGTGTCCTCAGCCCACCATCCACGGCCTGTGTAAGAACTCCTACAGTGTGTCCACTCCCACTGAGATGACCTTCAGCAGAGACCTGTCCACATGTGACCACTTTGTGCCTCTGAGAGACCAGACCAGCCCCCTGGCCCTGCTCACTGGACTGGTACGTCTTCATCGACTGTAAAACACCATCCATCCATCCATCCATTTTCTACCCTTTAATCCATTTCTGGGTCAGGGGGGTGGCAGTCAGAGATGCCACCCAAGTCTCATAGCACCAGCCCCTCACTGATCCTCTGCAGGTGGTGAGTCCACAGGAGGACGGCTGCTCTCTGAGTGTGAGCATAGCCTTGATCTTTCAGTGGGGGCTTTGGGCAAAGTGGGGTTAAGTGTCTTGCCCAAGGACACAACGACAGCAGTCATCAGTGGGAGTCGGTGGAGAAGGTGCAGAGGTGGGAATTGAACCCACGACCTTCTGGGCTTAAGGCCAATGCTCTACCAACTGAGCTACTGTCGCCCCTCTGTAAAAACACATGATGCCATATATAAATAGGTTTGTGTTTGTCAAAAGATACCATTACAAATATACATTACGTTTATAGGTAATTATTCAGCTTATCGCAGAGTTGTAAATATTGTCAAAAATCTGAAACATATTGATCATAAAACTGTTTGAAAAATGATATCCAGTGAGAGATCCCATGTATCAGTCCAAAGCATCAAAAAGTGACTTAAGTGGCTCTTCTAAAAAAAAAGTTGTGACTAACTCAGACCACAACATGCTGTCTTCATCCTATTAGAAAACAATTATCTCAACAGTTGAGCAGAAAACAAGGCACTAGCTAGAGGGATTTTGTTACCTTTCTCCACAAAATTCTCCTTTTACCGTTCACACACTAACACAGACATCTCCACCTTCTGTATTCACGTATATATGGCATCATGTGTTTTACAGTGATGCCATATATACGTGAATACAGAAGGTGGAGATGTCTGTGTTAGTGTGTGAACGGTAAAAGGAGAATTTTGTGGAGAAAGGTAACAAAATCCCTCTAGCTAGTGCCTTGTTTTCTGCTCAACTGTTGAGATAATTGTTTTCTAATAGGATGAAGACAGCATGTTGTGGTCTGAGTTAGTCACAACTTTTTAGAAGAGCCACTTAAGTCACTTTTTGATGCTTTGGACTGATACATGGGATCTCTCACTGGATATCATTTTTCAAACAGTTTTATGATCAATATGTTTCAGATTTTTGACAATATTTACAACTCTGCGATAAGCTGAATAATTACCTATAAACGTAATGTATATTTGTAATGGTATCTTTGACAAACACAAACCTATTTTAATCTACATTTATAATCAATACATACATCTTGTCAACCAGAAATTAATAATATTCTTCCATGTTTTTGGTGTGTGTATTTTTCCTTTTGGCCATCAATCAAACCTGAAATGAAATCTTAAGATCTTTCCCACAATGATGCTTTAACTAAACTAGAATTAAGACCCAAGAACAACAAAATAGTCTCTTCAAAAACATATACATTGTGTAAAAGCATACTTTCTGCCAGGGAGTGTGTACTTATGAGACCAGTGTATTGACAGTGTGTGTGTTTGCAGCACTACCCTCTGTCCCAGCTGGTGCGCAGCTCCCAGACCTGTGAATACCAGTTTGATGAGGAGAAGAGCAACATCGTGTCTGGAAAATGCATTGAGAAGCACATCCTCCTGCCCTTCTCCTCCCAGTAAGCCCCTGCCCCATGTATTATTATTTCATAATACCAAACTATGCAGACTCCAAACCCACCTGGAGTTGATTATAGCTCAATTTGCACAGCGAGGAATCCTTCGACTATGATCTTAAAAGAAAAACATTGCATTTAGATGATTTTAGTGAATTTCTCCAGTGAAATTATTTTTCCAACTGTAACTCTTAGACATGTTCCACTTTTACCACAGTCTTAGTCCATTTATCATGTTTGTATATTTTTTACATTTATTGTTTTACCAAGAAGTAATATCATCCTAAATGAAATGCCAAAGTGAGAATCATCTTAGATTTTTATATTATTATTATTTAGGAATGAATAGACATTTTTACTTACCTTTTAACTACATGTTCTACTCAAAAAGTGTCATTCCTTAGTTCATCTTCTCAGTCTACAGCAGTTTGAGTATCAGGCTTTTTAGCCCGCTGTGTGTTCTTATAAAGGAGTCCACACCTCTTTAACCGTGGTTTTTCTGTGAACAGGGGAGAATATGGAGTGACCAACGACGGACAGCAGACCGTGACTTTCATCGAGGCCACCCCCCTCAACGACAGAGTTTTTGACCTTGGTAAGCCACCATACTTTGGACTTTATCTTATCATTTCTCTTATCTTTATCATTCTGGCCATTTATTGGTCAATCCAACTAACCCCTGTTTTTAACCATTTTGTCTAAAAATAACCAGTGTGTTTTTAGATTCTTATGTTTCAAACGTTTCAAACTTTAAAAGACAAAATACTCTTTTTGAGCTGTATTTCTATCCGGAACTTGTAGTACAAACTCCACCCCTTTGGTCAAAATGCTCCTTATTCATTGACGTTTCTGATGTTTCTGTCTTTTTCAAGTATTGCAGAGAAATGAGTTATGGGGGTTTCTGTTTGACTCTTACTCTAAAACGTATTTATCCATGATGTTGTATTCTAAAACATGAAATGACAGAATGGACATAATACATCACAAATTAACGGGAATGTATTCCAGGCCCCATCGTGAAGGATCTGTACATGGACATGGTGGAAGACCACACCGTGACACAAGACAAAGACGCCGCTTTGGAGCTGCTGAGACAGCTGTCTGCTCTGCCCGAGTCCCAGGGAGAGAGCCGGGCCCACCTCTTCTACAAGCTGGTCCTGATGGTGCGTGGCATGAAGCTGGACACTCTGACTTCTGCCATCCCCGAAGCCCTGGAGGCCTCCCCAATGCTCACCTACCAAGTCCTGGCCCAGTGTGGCACACCTGAGTGCAGCAGCGCCATCCTCGAAATCCTGAGGACCCGTCTCGACAGCAAAACCGAGGTGGACACTTTTGTCTACACCATGGGCCTGGTGTCCAACCCTTCGGCCATGCTCATCAACGACATGCTGCAGATAGCTCAGGAAAAGCCTAGCAAACCTGTGATGTATGGCCTCAGCAACATTGTCAACAGGTCAGTCAACTTTCTGCCAAATGAGTTCTCTATGTTCATGATCAGCAGCATTACTGTATGATAGTGATGGGACCTACTGTCCCAGTGATTCACAGCAGTAAGCATTGTTTGGTGCCTTTTGTCCAGGTTCTACAAGACCGAGGGCCATTTGGTCCCAGAGATCTTCTCTGTGGCTCGCTTCATGGCTGGTCAGATTGGAGAGTGTTCCGGAGACATGGACAGGATTTTCCTCACGCTCAGGGTACATACACAGTTTCTACAAATGACTTAACAGCAAATCAATAAGCATTCAGAGCAGTTTTACATCAAAAACAAAGTGACCGCAGACACGGCAACTGTTCACAAGAATTTGCTTAAGTTTCAGATTCAGATTCAGTTTATTTGCCATTTGCAGTAAAAAAACCACATTGGAATACATTAGCAAAAGTCTCCAGTGTGCACAGACAAATACAGACATAAAACAACATTAAAAGACAGAAATAAAACAAATAAAACAGTAAACAAATGTCACTGTGAAATCGATCGACTAAAACAGTTTCAAAACAAGTGCAAATCATTAAAGTGCTCTGTTCACACTGATAACAGCTTGTGGATAAAAACTGTTAGCGTAACGAGATGTTCTGCATCTCAGAGAGCGATATCTTCTGCCAGAGGGAAGAAGCTGGAACATGGCTTTCCCAGGGTGGCCAGAAGAGTCATTGACAATCCTAAGAGCTTTGTTTAAAAGTCTGGATTTATAAAGAACCTCCAGAACAGGAAGCTCACAGCCCCACGGTCCTCTTTGCAGAGCGGAGCACCTTGTTTAAAGCTCTCTTTTCTTTATCTGTGATGTTTCCAAACCACACAGACACAGAACCAACAAGTAAACTCTCAATGGTGCAGCGATAAAAGTTAAGCAGAATCTTAGAGTTAGTGGTAAATTCTCTAAGTTTACGCAGAAAGTAGAGACGCTGACGAGCTTTCTTAACGACTCGGTCAGTGTTTTTAACCCATTTCAGGTTAGACAGAGTTAAACCCAGAAACTTGCACTCCTCTACGATCTGCACCTGGGAGTTGTCGATTACGACAGGCAAATGAGAACTATTGCGACTGAAGCCGTAGACCAGTTCACATGTTTTCGACGCGTTCAACTGGAGGTTGTTGGTTTTACTCCACTGAACCACATTTTGTATCTCTGCTCTATAAGAGGATTCATCAGTGTCACTGATGAGACCGATGATGGTGTTGAAAAAGATTTGAGTCTAATCGTCATCTATTAATGTTATTACTTTCAATCTTCTCACTCTGGGAAATTGTAACTTTAAAGTCAGTTTTCACCAAATGTATTTTTACTTTTATATAACTATAAAAACTAGTTATATAGAAGATGTCTCACTTAAAAGCCGATATAGCTTTTAAGTGAAATATTTTATATAAAACAACTTTTTCTATTTAGATCTAAATCTAGCAGATTGTAATTTTTCACTTCTACCACTAGATGGGAGTGTTTCCAAATATGTTACTGCTCTGTGTAAAAAGTGTATGTATAGAAATTCAATCTTTGTCAGTCCTCTGTACCATAACAATATGTACTGTGTGCAGGTGATTGGAAACATGGCCCCTGCTATGGCTAATGCTGGCCCCGCAGTCAGAGTAGCCGTGCTGAAGTGTGTGAACAAGCCTGAGGCCTCCGCAGAGGTCCAGCAGGCCGCCATCCAGGTCTTCAGACTGGCCCCTGTGCCAGAGGAGGTGAGGGCCCGTTACGTGGCACACACAAACACACCTAATTAAGTCCACACGGCTTCATGACATTCAAAAGGCTAAGATACATATTTTTGCACTTGCAAAAAAGATGTGCAATTGCTCTGTCCGTGACAGAGCCTTTCTGAAAGATACACCGTGAAATTATGAAATGCCAAAATGAAGAGAAATCATGTGTTAAACTTTCCTTTTGTCAACATAGGGTAGAGAGATCTTCATGCAGGTGCTTTTGGACAGTGCTGCCCCGGTGCAGAAGCGCGTGGCTGCCTACCTGGTTCTGATGAAGGACCCCCAGCCCAGCGAACTCGCCCAGTTCATGTCAGCCCTGTCCAGCGAGCCTGATATGCAGCTCAAGAACTACATCACCTCCCACCTCAGCAACATCGCCTCCTCCACTGAGACCGCCACTCAGGAGTAAGGCTTTTTCAATCACTCCAGAAATGTCTCTTAATTAGCTTTGCCAATCCATCCTGCCCAATGTTCTTTACAGCTGCATGGCTTTAATTGCAGCAGTAATTTAATTTTAAACCGCTAGATGTCGCCAGAATACTCCAACAAGTCATTCCTAAAAATTGACATATTTGCATTATGTTAAGCAGCGTCTATTTTGTGACCATAAACAAGCTCAGTGTCGAAGAACACATCTGTTGTTGGGTGGATTTATGTTGGGTGGCAGTTTCTCCACTTCTCTGATCTTCTCCTGATTCTCTTGTTCAGGCTGAGACAGAAGATCTTTGACGCCAAGACTTACAACAAGCTGGGACCCCTGGAGGACAGCCTGAAGATGTCCCGCCACATGAAGGTCGGCATGATCCAGAGCAACATGATCTTTGAGGGAACCAGCTACCTGCCCAAGGAAGTCATGCTGGAGATGACCCTCCGCGCCTTCGGCTTCGACCTGGACATGATCGAGGTAAGACGCTGCAGTGGTGGAACACACACTGAACAAAGAGTATGAGTTTCACCATATTCATTATTATTCATTGGTGGTTTGTTTAGAAGGAACAGTAGAAATCTTTTTGTTGTGACATCTTCCATCAAAGTCTTAAAATTTTTGTTCCGTGAGCAAAGAATCAAAAGCATAATGGTATCATCTGCAAACAATACGAATTTCAGTCTTCTGGACAGCAAACATACATGATCTATGAAGAAACAGTTTCGGTTCCAAAATGAAGCCATGCAGAAGAGAAAAAATTTTATTGGAGTTATGGATCTGTTGTCTTCTATTGCTTTCCTTAGTGTTCACTTGTTCACCAGTCCAATGCCTGTGTGCCGCGTATACGATACAGCTCCAACTTTAGAAATATTGTGGTTAATGGTGTCGAACGATGGTGTCAACAAAGATTTTTAACCTTCTCCATACAATCTGTACTATTTCTTGACTCAATCCATCAGAACCTTAGCAGTTAATCTATGTTAGGCATGTCAAACTCAGGCCTGTGGGTCAAATCTGGCCTGCAAGACCATTTTTCGTGGCCCCTGAAATGTTTTGCAATTACCACTATTACAGCAACTTGGGAATACAGTGGAATATCAGCAGAGATACTATTATATACTATATACCAGGGGTCCTCAAAGCTTCAGGTTAAAACTGGACTCACCTGAGGAAATGGGTGGAGTCATCTGTGGGTGGAGTCATCTGTGCTCCTGCTCAGTTTGGAACTGTTGGAAGTAAAACCTGCAGCCACATGGCCCTTTCTGGAACTGGTTTGAGACCCCTGCTATATACTATACTATGCTATACACAATACTATAATTTTAAAGCTTATTTTCCCAGGAATGCAAATTTATAAATATGGATGTTCTAAAATGTTAACTAACATGTAATTATAAGTTAAATTAAGCCGAAGATTTATATTTTTAGCAAATAAGTGTAGCCCAGTTGTGGCAAGTAATTTTGGCCCCAACCCGCTCTTATGTGTTTAAACTTGGCCCCGACCAAAATGAGTTTGACACCCCTGATCTATGTCATTAATCTGTCTTGTTAACATTGTATGTGACAATAAATGATCTGTCTAAAATTCCAGAATATAATTTAGCACTTCCATTTCAGATCAAAATCAGACAAATAGACCCTTTCATTCATATACTTTCTACTTAAAAAAACACACATTCTACATGAATTATTCTCAAAATGTTCTCAATCATACATACTGTTCATGAAATAGAGTCTTAGTCTAATCTCCATTGGTTTGTCTCTGTCTTGCAGGTCGGTATGGAGGGAAAAGGCTTCGAGCCCACCGTGGAAGCCCTGTTTGGAGAGAACGGCTTCTTCCCTGACACCGCCATGAAGACCATCTACTTTATGTCCGACAACATGCCCCTCCAAGTGAGCCAGGTGCTGCAGAACGTGCTGCCCGCCATCAAGAAGGACCGCATGAAGAGACAGGTAAACAGATGGCAACACTGCAAAAAACTGCTTTAAAGGGGACACAAAATGGGAGATATGTTTGTATAGTTATTTAGTTTTTTTCCGGTGACTGCAGGATGCCATTGTTACTCCTAGATCCTGTGATAGCTCAATATTAACATTTCTAGTATGAACACAATGATAAGCCACTGGTGTCATTGATAAAGAGCTGTACTGTATTGATGATTCTACTTCTCTCAATAATCTGTCACATTCATTCTCTCCTATCACTGCTTTTTCTAACACAAAGGATCTTTTTGACATTCATATTCTTATTAGCCACAGACAATGCCAGTAATGAAGTCACAACAGTCTGATGTCTTTCTGTCATTGCACCAGATTTTGTACTTAAGTCTAGCATCTTCATCATGATGATTTTAGATGTTTTTCCTTAAGATAGAGATTTTAAACTGCCTCTTTTTATGGAGTTAGATATTATTTTATTCAATTTTTGTAGAGTTATTATTCATTTATCTTTTGTTTTGTGCTGCTAATTCCTACTGTGCTGTAACTTGTAACAACTGACATTCCCCATTTTTCCCCTGACATTCCATACATTTTTTAAAGTATGGTAGAATGGTACAGATATTAAATTCATCTAAGAATCTAAGAAAATTTAACTTCAACAATAATGTACCACAGAAGGATAATAATAATAATAACGAGAGTGGGATTGGGAGGTGGGGGAAGAGCCAGGGTTGTTATGAAGAAGAAAAAAAATGTCTATAAATAACACAGTACAACAAAGAGAAAAAAAGAAGAAGAAAGGGTGGATTTAAATGGAGAATGTTGGGAAGATTAAAGGATATCTTAATGTTTAAAAAAAAAAAAAAAAAAAACATAGCAAAGGGACAAAATATCTCCCCTCTGTCTACAGACCTCCCAGAACCTGATGAAGGACATTGGCCAAAACATGAAGAAAGTGCTGAGCGAGCTGAAGGCGTCCGAAGCCCCTGAAGCCACCGTCTACCTGCGTCTCCTCGGCAACGAGCTGGGATACATGAAGACCAACGAGATGGAGCAGGTGGCCTACTCCGCCACCAGGTTTGTGGACTCCATGCTCAAGATGTTCCCAGTCGATGTGAGTGAAACGCCTCAACTCTAAATGTAAAACTGCCTTTTTTTCAATCTTTTAATCATGTTACGAAATTGTACCAGGTGGTGAAGTCCCTGACCACCATGACAGACACATCCCTGTATGCTCACTACATCTTCATGGACAATGAGTTCTTCCTGCCCACACTGACCGGAGTGCCCCTGAGAATCGCCCTGTCTGGTACCTTCGCCCCTGGCTTCAAGGGAGGACTCAAGATCTCCCCCCAGATGGTCAGTGCACCAGCAATGACACAGAATATTTCACACTTCCACATATATTATGCAAATTTTCTTTTCATTTTTTTTTTTTAACATATAGGTCTGTTTTTGACAAGAAACAATCCGACATCCGGCACGATTTGCCATGCCCATTTTGCCCCTGGTGGGATATATAAAGTAGTCTGAATCTGAAGTTCCCCTGCCATTTTTGTCTAAATGGTCCAAGGATTAGCGACAACTACACACCTTCAAAGACACTCAAATAGTCAAAACATTTTCTGCCAAAAATTGGAGGGCGACCAATATAAGGGCCAATATATATAAAACATTTGTAAAGCTGCAATCAACCTAACCATTTGACCAATATATAGGCCAGCTGACACATTTACATGAATAAGTGAATCCGATTTAAATGAATGTCATACCCAATAAATGCTTGATGTACTATCATGGATTGTTTTACCTCATTCAAAGCTAACTCCAAGAAACAACCGCAAATAAGTCATAAACAAACATTATTCCTTTCTTTTCTCTTTAGCCTCATTAATGATATTCGCATGTGTTTTTATTTTTGGTTTCAGAACGAGGTGGCCTTCATGCCCTCTGCCGGAGTGGAGTTTGTGACCCAGATGGGAACACACATACCAGAGTTCTTGGACACTGGTCTGGAGATGCACACCAACATCTACCACGAGTCCGGCCTGAGCGCCAAGGTGACAATTGAGAAAGGGAAGGTCCAGCTGACGATGCCCGCCCCTAAGACCACCACCAAGCTCATCCACATCACGTAAGTCAATGTTAAGCTATTCCACACATGACTAGTGTTGGGAAATGTACATATTCACTCATTACTAGTAGCTAACTTAAAGGTACATAGGAGGATTTTCCAATGTTTTAGGAAAGAACCGCCCTCTCCACTTTTTGAACATTCTCTCTGGTCTTATTTGATGAGCACGTATCACCAGAATGATTGACAATTGGGAGGACCAATAGTCTTGAGGATCCACCCTGAAGTTAAAAATCCTCCTGTAAACTTGGATTGAACAACAATGAAACTGTGTCATAAAATCCATCTGACAACTTTCTCGCTCTAAAAACAGTATCAGTAGTATTCACATGCATGTTACTTTGGTTCGTCAAAACTTAAGATCAGCTTTTTCAGACAAAATACATGAAAAGAGAGGACCACCCTCACTCCTTGTATGTGCGCCAATTATAATGTTTTCAGATTTTGTGAAGTTTAAATTTTTTTACTCAAAACATTTTCTGTTGGGAGAAACAAAACTTGAGTGGTCTGTTTATGTGGCTATGCTTCATGTTTTTTGTAAATATGAAATTATTAATTAATAATAATTAATCGATGTATCAATTTTAAACTTATGTATTCAAAATAAAACAAGACACAAAATTAACAGTGATACATTGTTAAATACATGTAATTTGAGTAATTCATGATTATATTGCAACTAGAAACATATTCTTGTTTTTCTATTGTTTTATTCTACACAAATATTGCAATATTTTATGGAGTTAACCATAAAATGAATATATTACAGTAAAACAGTACAGTATTTCAAAGTGCATTCAAAGTATATTTAGAATTTCAGGCCAGCTCTATGAAAAACACCCAATACTGTGAATTATAAAATATAATTCAATTTAAGTTGGATTGAATAATATGTCTCAATGGAACAAGCATCAATATGTTGCAGTTTTTCCAATGTGGTTTTACTGCAAATGGCAAATAAATGAATCTGAATCTGTTCTTGAGGAGTACAAAAAGCTTGCATGATATTATAAACATATCTTTTCTGACTGTTAGCCAATAGAGTCATCCCTTTTAATTGTATTTGTTTATTTATTTGGATGGGACAGTACATTTCAAGGAGGGCAGGAGCTATAAATATACCAGATTGTTGTTCATTTGCATCTGTATAAATGAAACCCGCCACACATTTCCAAATAACAGTGCTGAAATGGCTGCTGACTTTTCTTGCATTTGGCTGGTATACAGGAACAACCTGGTGGCCCGCTCCGGAGCTGAGATGACCGTGATCCCAACTGTGCCTATGGACCGTGTCAGTGTCAACGAATGCACTCCCTTCTTCTCTGGCATGAAGTACTGCTACAACCTGCATTTCAACGACGCCTGGAACATGGAGAGGACACCCTACTTCCCCTTCACCGGACACAGCAAGTAAGCATCCGGCACACATGGGACAGGACATTTAAATCAAAGAAATTTATTTTTAAAACACATTTCAAGCCATGTATTTCAAGTAAGTATGGTTTTTGTGTATTGCATTTCAAGCAAAAGAAATGAGACTTAAGAATAGACATACCCAACAATCTACAGAAAAGACAGCCAAAGAACAAATATGACTTTTAATTTAGATTAGACTGTTCCATTTCTAAGAAGCATTCCCCCGTCTTACCAATCAGAAAGTCTGTGATCTGGGTTGCCAAATCTCACCACGTCGAGCTAATCTTACTGGTAAAGTAATATGTGGCCACAGAACTACAAAGGTTCTCGTTATGATTCTCAAATCATTAATGACAAAACAAGGAATAAAACCAGTACCAGAGGTGTTGGTTATAGATTTGTTGACAAAACTCTATTCAGCTTTGATGGTCTTAACTGGATTCGTCTGCATATCTGGCAATCTGAGTCAGGAAGAGTGCAATACCACTTTTGGCCAGATTTGTAAATATTGCTCCTTTAAAGTCAAGCGTGTCTTGAATTAGAGCCGATGAAGGTATTTCAATACAGGTGATAAATTTTGCTAGTGAGATTGACGTTCCACTAATGATGGAAGACTATTGTATAAAAGTATAATCTAAAAACATTTTGGCTCCCGACCAAAGCTGTTCTTCGGTCTTGACAAGTGAAAGTAACTCAGTACTTGATGATTGCTAAGACTTGTGGTGAACTCCTGCATTTTTTACCGTTAGGTTCGCCATGGAGCTGGAGCCCACCGGAGAAGTAAGCGAGTACACAGCCACTCTGGCCTACGAGCTGCTGCGAGAGGGAGAGGAAGGCAAGCAGAAGGTCGACGCGTTCCACTTTGTCCTCCGAGCTGAAGGTAACACTGCTTACAGCAAGAGACAATATTCTCAGAACAGGGGGGGATGCGTTAAAAACAAAAATGCCTGTTTTAAAATGACGTAGTTACTGTCCACCTACTTCACTTTGTACAACCCATTATCACATGCACAAACTAATTGTGTAATAGTGTCAAACTCAGCAGTGAACATAGCTGCTATGTTCTCAAGCTTTTCAATCAGGGACCCCCAAAATATGCATGACAACAATTCACAACCTCCTGACAGTAAAAGTGACAATCCAATATACATTATATTGAATCGTCACTTTTACTGTAATCCATAATAATATTGTTTTTATGTGAAACAAGTTGTGACATACATTTGAAAACCCACCCTCAGCTTAATGTCTTGTTGTTTTCAGGTAAAATGATAACATTGATTGATTAGTATTGGAGGTTGGTGGAGTACAAAGCGGGATTTCTCAACCATCTATGAACGAATATACAGTAATTTAAACCTTGGGTGAAATAATGCCAAGGAAACACCGTTAGAACAAGATTAGATGATGTGATAGAAAGTCACCTTCATACAATATGTCTCAAACACTGCTCAGTATTCTTCCAGTTTTGACCTTGTTCCCTCACTTTGTTTGCGCAGGAGCTGATCCCACTGAGGCTCGTGCCACGGTCAAGTACAACCGCCGCAAGAATGTGGCGACCGCTGAGCTGATTGTGCCAGACTACGACATGGAGGTTGGCCTCAGGCTGGGCGTCGTGGACGGAAACACCAAGGGCAAAGGAACTCACTCCATTTCCCTGGACCTCATCAACAAGAACATCCCACAGCTGTCTCTGGTCGGACGTGCCAAGTAAGAGAAACTTTGAACTATAGGGGTGGGATACTTGCTTACGATGATAGCCACCAGAATTAAGATTTACGGTGATACAAGAATGGATGTTATTTTGGAAAAGACGGGTGCGTACCATCCATTCTTCCTTGGATCCCATCAGTTTAATTATTCTCAGACAGAAAATCTAACTGTGATTATGCCAGGAGGAGGGACTATTTCAAATACATTGTTAAATACAAGAACAATCAAAGACTTACTACAGAACCCGATAGTACAAAGTGTAAAGGATTATTATTCAATTTCTGTTATTAAGCCATTTCAATTAGATATTGTAGCATAGTTAGCAAGATACTAGATTTAAGACATTTGTAACTGTGACTGCTGTGTCCACTGAAATTATTAAAATAATCATAAAAAATCTTTGTATCTTAGGTTGATGGAGATGAAGGAAGGCATGCTCCAGGTTCAGATGCTGGTCCCTGTCTTGAGCACTGACGCCACCTTCACTGCCAACCTTAAACGTGACGACGAGATCGAAGTGGAGCTCAAGAGCGACATCAAGGTTTTCGAAGCCACATCCGAACAGAAGATCACACTTAAATATGGTAAACACTTTATAATGAGTCTGTAGGCCTTTTAGAGATTCCTTCTAATACAAACCTATTTAAGTGCTCCTCTTTGCTGATTATGGGGCGATAGTCAAAACTGTTATTATGCCTCTGTATTTGAGACATAGACAATTAAATGTTGACACCAATTTGATAACTGATTTTTCAGATGGCAGCAAAATTGAAGCAGAGTTCAAGTCCGACATGAATGCTGAGACAGCCAAGATGCCTGTTGGTGAGATTGTAGCCAAATACGGAGAGCAGATCATGGATACGCAGGTTGGAGAAACCGACATGAAGGTCCGCCACATCTTCACCAAACTTGTGGAGGTAATAAACAGACTATACTCTTGATAGTTGGGATATTCTACTTTGTTCAAAGCTAATTCGACAATTTTCTAGGCATCCAACAACTACATGGAGAAGTATGGCGCTGATCTGCCTTACATCCAGAACTTCAGAGTGCCTGACATGCCCGAGATGACCCTGCCTGAGAAACTCTTCCTCAACACGTAAAGAAATACTTTCACCTTTTTGCATGAATATGGCCTATGACGAATCTAACCCATAACCATTTCCATTCTTGCAGCGAGACCAAGGCTATCTACTACTTCAACAATGAGCGCTGGTCCATGTTTGTGCCCGTACCATTCGGAGGAAAATCCACTAACGACTTCAACTTCCCCGAGATCTTGAACACGCCCCACATCTCTGTTCCCCAATTCGGGCTGGAGATCGTCTCCATGGAAATCCCTGTGCCTGAGCTTTTTGTCCCGGATGGTTTCACTCTCTACGTCCCTCTTTTCGGCAAAGCTGAGGTTTCCGCAATCTTGAACAGCAACCTCTACAACATGGAAGCTACAATGGCTGCCGGAAAAGACCTTGTGGAGACACCAAGCTATTCTGCCAAGATAGCTGTGGCTGGAACCTCTCCAATTGACATTCTTTCAGTCAAATTTGAAGGTAATTATTTGTAATTACCCAAGAATAGATACAGCACACTATACAAGCGGCATTTTGTTCATCTTAAATGTAATGTCACCGTGGGCTCCACTGAGATTCTGGGCTAATATGGCATGTTATACTGTATATCAATGAAATTAGTAATATACATTTTGAGCCCTAAACGTAAATAAATCATTAATTCTCTGTCCCCCTCCATCCATCCATTTTCTTCCCCTTAATCCATTTCGGGGGGGGCAGTCAGAGCTGCACCCAGTACACATAGCACCAGCCCCTCACTGATCCTCCTGCAAGTGGTGAGTCCACAGGCTTCAGGCAAAGTGGGGTTAAGTGTCTTGCCCAACTGAGCCGCTGTCGCCCTCAATTCAATGTAAACTTTATTAAACCCAGAAGCCAATTCTATGTGCATGTGCATAGGTCTGTTTGCAATGTTCGTATATTTTGCATACACACAAACCCGTGAAAAAAAGACTCCTTAATGCGGTTAGATTAGCCTATTGTGACAGTATACTGGGCTTTGGAATCTGACCGAAAAAATTCAGAAAATAATAGTTGCAAAATTTTTAATTTTTTTAATGTTTTTGACAATTTTTTGACAAGAAGAGAACATATTAGTAAAAGTACTACTATTTTGTATGTGTCAATGTGAAAAAGTGAAGTACAGTTTGTTTACTTTGACAATTATTTAATCATTATTAATATTTGATTTTTGTCTATTCTTCTCAGGCTCTGGTATGGTCATCCCTGAAGATGTCTTGAGGGCCCAAGTCAAGGGATCTTTTGTGCACAAATTCCTTAAGGCAAATTTGAACATTGTTGAGGAAGCAAGTCTGACTGACGTATTCATCTACAAATGTAACAGCGAGATCGATGCCACCAGCCCTCTTGGAGTTAATATGGCCGTTGAGCACACAGTTGTTGCTGGACTGAACATGGAGAAGCTCGACATGAACAGCAACCTCAATGCCATGGTCAAAGCTGGCCCCTTCTACGGCAAGGTCTCCTCAACTCAGTCAACTAGCATTTCTCCATTCACCCCAGAAGCTAAGATTGAATCCTTAATGAAAATTGACTCTACTTTACTCAAGGCAGAAAACACATTCAGTGTAGAGCTTCATGAGGGAGCCATCTCAGTGCTGTCCGACACTAAAGCCTTTGACGGGAGCATGGTCCATATCGCTGCAGTTAACTTCAAAGATCAGAAGCTGACAGTCAAATCCGATACCAACGTTGACGCCGTTGGTCTGAAGATGAAGAACCAGATTGAGGCTGCCGCTGGTGCTGGGGAGGTTGTGATGAGAATGGAGACCAACTCAAACTATGCTGACAACCATGTGCTTTCTGTGATAAGCGCCACATTGAACGCTGAAGGTTTGGTAATGAACAGCGATGCCACCCTACAGCTGCTGGACAATAAAGCGATCCATAAAGCCAACATGAAATTCAACCAAGAAGGTCTTGTTGTGAGTGGAACCAACACTCTTGAGAGCCCTCTGTCTGTCGAAAATATATTCAATGTTGCAGTCGACACATCCAAAGCTGAATGTTCCATCTCCAATAAGGCTGCGCTGTATGACATGAAGGTCGACAATGCTAACTCCCTGACCCTCACTCTGTCCAGCATTATCTTCTCCTCTAAGGCTGAAGCTCTTGCCAGTGAATATGTCACTTACACTCATGACATCTCCTTCGACATGAAACCTTACATCACCTCTGCAAATGTCAATAACAACTTGAAACTACTGGCAGTCAACTTCATCAACGAGGCCCAGCTACAGGCAGAGATGTACAAGTTTGATTTGACGGGAAGCATGAAGGCCATCACCAGCGAGGATGAGATCAAGCACATCTATCAGATCAACTTCGCTGACATGACCGCTAATGCCAAATGCAGCACCACAGGAAAATTGTTCGGCACGCACATGAACCATAACACAGAGCTTGAGGTGATTGGCCTTGCTGCCCGCTTCTCCAACGATGCCCGCTTCAACTCCCAGCCCATGCGCTTCGATCACACCGTCCGCGCTAGCATTGTTCCATTTGACTTCAACCTTGACGCCATTTTTAATGCTGATGGTGACCTGACACTCTACGGAAAGCACTCTGCACAGCTCTATGGCAAGTTCCTCATCAAAGCCCAGCCACATGCCTTTGCCAGCACCCAGGAATGGAGGGCTTCAATGACCCAGGCCCTTGACAATGGCATGGCATTCGAGACCACCTTTGACAACAAAGTGGACACTGCTCTATCCCTGGAAGAACAGAAAACAAGCTACAGGATTAAGTCCAAGATGAACGACCACGTGTTCAACCAGGACATGAGCCTTTACAACACAGCTGAGAGGATGGGAGTAGAGTTGTCCAGTGCCATCCTCACAAACCTTCTCAACCAAGAGAATCCAGAGAACCAAGAGTTTTCCATTTCTGGCTTTGTGAAATATGACAAAAACACCAATATGCAAGTCATCCAGCTTCCCTTCATGGAATACTTCCCCATTGTTGTGGAGAACCTAAAAGGTGCTTTTGTCTATGTGGCAGAGGCACTCTTGGACTTTATTAACAATGAAGAGGTGCGTTCCAAACTGGAATCCATCCCTCAGCATATCACCACCTTTATTGCTGAGCTTAACCTTGAAGAGAAAATTAACAGGCTCAAGCAGTTTGTTAGTGACCTCACTCAGGAGTATGCCATCTCTATGGAAGACGTACAAGGATTCTTGAGAAACTTAAACGAGACAGTGAGGAAAGTGCTTACCAATTTCAGTTCTTATGTGACACAGTTTATTGTCAAGATGAAAGAAATCATGGAGAACATGACTCTGCCTGACACCATTGTGCAGAAGATTCAGGAGCAGCTGCTGGCCATTGATGAGGCATTTGAGATCAGGCCTATGCTTATCTATGTACTTGAAACCTCTACTGAGATCCTCCAGCAGTTCAACTTGGAAAAACTTAGAGGAAGTGTCCTTGAGATCCTTATCGACCTTGACAAGGATTTCCATATCACAGAAACTGTGTCAAAGATCTTGACAGCTTTGAAGGGATTTATTGAAAGATTTGACATCCAGCAGATTTATCAAGAGCTAAAATCTGTTCTCGTATCCATTGACTTAAGATCTCATATTGATGAACTCATAGGTGTAATTCCAACTGAGATGTTCAGCGATGCTACTGATTATGTCTGGAAAGTCATTCAGGACCTTGATGTTGTGGGAAAATTCAACACCTTTTATGCCCAAGTAAGAGACCTGCTTGTACGATTTGAGCTTGACAAGAAGATGCTGGCGCTGATGGAGAAAACTCTTGAGGTCATCAAACAACTGAAAGTTAAGGAAACCTTTTCTGCTTTTGTTCAAATGGTCAAAGATCTTCATATTCCAGAAACCTTTATGCATTTCTCAAAGGTCACAATTGATTATATCAAAACAACTGAGATGAAAGACATGATTGAAAACACCAATAACATGATTCAAACTGTGATTGGGGTACTAAACTCTCTGGAGTACAATGAGTTGGTGAATAATCTCAACAAGTTTATTGCTCTTTGGACAAGATACATCAATGAGGTTATCAAGGCACTGGAAATCCCAGAGAAACTTCAGGTAATGAGGGACTTTGTCAACTATGCTTTCTCCACTGTGAACGACGTCACTGCCAAGTTGAGAGAAGTCAAGATTTCAGAAATTTTAAAAAATGTTCAAAGCATGGCATTCCAAGTGGTTGATTACAGCAAGACATTGGTGGACTATGTGAAGGAGCAAATCGAAGTGTTGGAGATTCAAAAATCCATTCAGGCTGTACTGAAGTTTTCAAGCGAGATCTACAAGGATGTAATTATAACAGTTAACTGGTGGTTCACCAGGACAGTTGACTTCATCAGTAAATACACCCCTGACCAAAAGTTCATTGAAGATGTGAAACAGATGTTCTCTAGCATTGTGGCTGAAATGAAACAGCTGGAGCTGAATACTCCATCATTCACTGTGCCTTTAAGTGATTTAGAAGTGCCAAGCATGAAGATCAAACTTGCCAAACTCAATGAATTTGAGATCCCAACACAGATTGATATTCCTGAGTTCACAGTTTTGGGCAGGTACACTGTCCCTACCATCACAATCACCTTTGCTGACATCAAGCAGAAGTTCTTTGAGCTTGTTGATTATATAATGAATTTCAGCTTCCAAATGGTGAATGTGGAATCTTTCTTTGGAGACTTGAGTTTGAACTTCCTGCCCCACATGCCAGAGATCACTCTCCCAGAATTCACTCTCTCTGAAATCTCCTTGCCTACAATCCCCGAGGTACCTTTAGAGAAGCTTGTCAAGTCACTGCAAGTTCCTGAGATTAAGTTTCCAGAAATACCTACAGAATTGGTGATCCCAAGCTTTGGCAAGCTTTATGCTGAGTTCAGGGTGGAGACTCCAATGTACACCACCAAGACGACTGCTGAGTTGCAAAACTCCACTGAAAATGAGCAGACTCCTCAAATGACAGCTTTCCTCGTTTCCCAGGGTGGGTCACCAGCTTATGACATCTTTAACTACAAAATTGATTCCACTGCTCGACTTGCCATCCCCAAGATGAGCCGCATTATCATTGGAGAGACTGTGAAATTCGAACATGTTGCTCTTGGACTGGAACATCAAGGATCTCTGAACCTGTATGGCAAATCTGCCCAAGCTCAGGCTAAGACCTCTATGAAGGTTACAACTAAGCCATACATTGGTGACTTCATGAACACTGCTTTCATTGCATTTGAAGACGGCATGTCTGCTTCTCTTGAGACCACTCTCAATCACATCATTGACATCCCGGTTTTCTCTATCAAAATGGAAGCCAACACGGCTCAAAAGATTATTTCCCGTCTTGATGGCCTGAAACTCACCATTTCAGCTGACACCACGGGAAAAACTGCCTGTAATGGTGAGGAAGGAAATCAGAAGAGCAACCTTGACTTTACATTTACTCCCAATATGATCACACTTACCTTTGACAGTGACACTGAAGCTACAAACCTCAAGGTGAAGCAGGTGATGAATGCTGAAGTTGGCACTTTTAGCTATGTCAAATTCAACATTCGTAATGAGGCTGAGACACCATTCCTTAAGTCCAGTGAGCTCGTAGCAGCCGGCCAGGCTAACCTGTTCGATATGAAGGTTGACATCACTGCCAACCACAACTCAGAGCTGGTTGGTCCAATCCAAGGCAACATTGCTAATGAGTTGAAGTTTCTGATTAGCCCAAGACAATTAGCATTTGAGTTCAAGAACAAAGGTACCAACAAAGTCAACTTCCTTGGATCTCTCACTGCCAAATTGGATGCCCAAAGTGACATGTCTGCCTACCTGAACTCTGAGATGCAGAGGATGAACACTTTTAACATGGTGCGGTTCAACAAGAACACAGGCTTCTTCAACATCACCTTGGACAATAGTGAGAAAGAAACTGCAGTTATTCTTGGCTTTGATGGACAGGCCAACCTTGACTTCCTCACCTCTCCCATTAGCATCCCTGAGATTGACCTCCCATTTGTTGACTTCCGTACACCAGAAGTTAGCAACCTGAATTTGTATGAGCAGACAATCCTGAAAGACATCTTGACCACCACTGAGCAGTCTGTTAGCCTTGATGCCAAGGTTGCCTACCAAAAAAGCCTGGTTGTGGGCCTGATTCCAAATTTTGGAAACCTTGTCACAGAATTGGCATTCAAATCTGCCATCATAAATCTGAACCTCAATACTAATCTGGAGACTGAAGATGACATCACTTTCCGCCTGGAAGCTACCACTGCATCCGTATTTGACAGCCTGAAAGCTAAACTCGACGGTACAACCAGCCTGACTACCAGAAGAGGGATTAAACTGGCCAACTCTCTGTCCCTCGAGAACAAGCATATTGAAGGCACTCATGACAGCACTGTTAGTGTTAGCACCGAGACCTACGAAACTGCTGTGTCTGTCACAACTCTCGGAAAAGTTGCCCTGCCCGTCCTCAACATGGAAATCAACCAGAACTTGATCGCAGACAACAAGGCTAAACCCACTGCTGCTTGCACATTCAGGGTGAACGGTCAGCTTAACATCCCCAGAATTAATGCTGTTGTAAAAGCTGAGGCAGATCATAGCACTAAGATGGAGGGCACATTTGATTACCTGTCAATGGAAACATCCAACAGAGCTAACATGGACGGAACCATTCTGGAGGAATATTTGGTTTTGGGAGTGCTGGACAATGAGCTGAACTTCTACTTGAACAAGGAAGGTCTTCGTTCAAATGCCAAGGTCATTGCTGACACCAAGTTGAACGGTGGCACAAGCAAGATCTTTGCTTTTGATGTCATCGAGAATCTTGCTATTGAAGCTAGTCCAAGCCGTGTCTACACTGTCCTGAAGTACACCGGAAATAATGAAGCCAACTTGTTCAACTTTAACACCAAGGGACGCCATGCTGCCCAGGCAACCATCGACTTTGTTCCCATCTCTGCCCTGACTGCTGACATTGAGATTGACCTGTCTCAGCCCAATACATTTGGTGATTTTACCATCTATGAGAAGGCAACAGCTGAAGTGACAACTGAAAAGCAAAAGGCTGCATCTACTAGCAAATTTGTGAGTCCAGTCTACACCACCAACTTTGTTGTTGAAGTTGAGGGAGATTATCCAATCCTGAAGGTCATCGCAAAGTCCTCAGCCACCTCTCCAATTAACCTCCTGGAGTTTGACATGGATTGTAAGTTCAGTATATCACACTGCACCCTTTTAAATTTTACATTATTTTTACATTATTTGTACTTTTACAGCTTCTTCAACCACAAACTATGAGAATGATGCCCTGAACATGAACAACAAGGTTGTGCTGACCAACGCTGCCATGACAATGGACATCACTCATGTTATTACTCAGGCTCTGAGGTAACTATCTTTGAATTGTTATGAAGAATTTGTAAGCTTTATGTTATGTTTCAGAACATTCAACGTTATTCATTTGTTTATGTTTTATTTATTTTTCAGGAGAAAAAGGCAGGCTGACGACAGGTAAATATCTAAATTGTACATATTTTTCCATGGAAGTCTAATCAACTAATACAAAATTGTCAATTCTTACAGGCATATTTTTTTCATGTGGTTTTGCTTTTCCTTTAATAGTTTACAGTCAAGGCCAGATTAAGATTATTACATTTTTGTTTAACAGTGTCTCTCGCCATACATTGAACATGGACATCACCAGCCCAACCTTCACCGATATGAACATCCGCTATGCTGCTGGAAGAAATGGTATCAGTGCTTCTTTGTCCTCTCCCTCTGTGGGATTCCTGGGTATGCAAGTCAACGGCAAAAGCACATCTCAGATGAATTTGAGACTCTATGGACGCCATGCAGTAAGTAAAGATTAAGAAAATATCAAAAATATTTCTTAAGAGATGTATACAATAATATTCCATTTAATACGTCAGACCACTGACCACAACACTGTGAAAGTGGTCTATTTGAAATCATATTGACCAAGACAACTACATAGATATATATTTAGTTGTATTATTATTTAATTGTCAGTTCCATTTCTGTTCATATATGCATCAATTGTTTGTCTAAGTACATGTCTGTTCTGTTTCCCTAGTCCTCTCCAGATGCCGATGTTGACATCCTGGTGCTGCGTGCCACTCCCAAAGACGGTGACAAGATGACTCTGCAGGTTGCCTACAACATGGAAGCACCCAAAGCTATGCTCACCGAGTTCAAAGCCAAGATCCCTGCTGTCCTGTCCACCCTAAAGGCCTTCATCGACAACAACCTGATGACGAGCAACGTGCTGGAGTGGAGAGATACTATGCTGACCCGCATCAACGAGGCCTACACTGCTGCTATTAACTACGATGTCCAACTCAGCCAGCTGTCCATCTTTTTCCGCAACTCAGTCGTTGAGTTCCAGAAAAGCGTCCAAGTATTTGTAGATGCTGCAGTCAAAGTTCTCAGGGAAACTCAATTCAGGCTTCCCGGCTCAGAGGAGATGACCACCCTTCCTGTTGTCCTTAAACAAATTACCTCAAGCATTGCCAATGTTCTGCGCAACGTCATCCAGATTGCGTACGACACCACAGAGTTCTACTACAACTCTTTTGTGGACACCTTTAGCACAGTTGAGCTCCGCATGCCAGTCGGAGACGTGATGACTGTTGGACAGATCATTGACAATGTCAAAACCACAGGCAAAAGCCTCTTCAACCAAATTGTTGATTTCGTGAACAACATGGAAAGCCTGGACACCATGCTGGTCAAGATTGGCGAGACCCTGAAAGCCTTAGTGGACAAAACCACAGAGTTTGTAGATACCATCAAGTCAGATTTCTTGGATTCCCTTCTTGCCAATGTCAACGTGGCATACAGAAGGGTGGTGATGGCTGTGAAGGACATTATCGAACTCGTGTCTTCCTATGACATGGACCAGCTGAATGATTTCTTGCAGTCCGTAGTTGATTATTGCATTGTTGCGGTGGAGCAGTTGAATGCAATGGTCAATGGTAGCACCCTGGAGGTCGAGCTGCCCTTCCCCTTCCTGCAGTGAGGAGCTCTAACAAACACTACCACCACCTTGCTCACAGAAAGGGGGAACAATGAACACTTTGCTCTTTATTTATCAACATATTAAGCCTACATCATTTATTGTGTGAAGCATTGCTAATATATATCCTACCGTTTTACTACCGTTGTGCAATGTCTGAAGAGCATCAATAAAAACATCTTTAACTTATTCTATGTTTGACTGTTTTGTTTTTATAATTTTGTTCTTTCTAAATATTTTCTTTAACATATTCTTCTATATTTGCTAACAATTTGCTAATGAGTTGAGAAAAATCACATACCTCATTCCAACTAAAGCTTCTTTTAACTCATCTAAAACACTACTCAAATCAAGTGAAATAAATTGTATTCCATAGCGATCATAGGTAAACCATTCATAATCTAAATAAGTAAGATCATGAAATATTAATTTTAAACTTGATAGTGTATAAAAACAGTATCTAGAGTTCAAAGAGCTATGTAGTAAACCAAGGTTAGGTGTAGGAGATGTGTAACAAAAAGTGCAAAAGGCAGGTGCAAGACACTCTCCAGACATACGAGAGTAGTTAGAACTAGTTAATACCAATTTCCACAAACCATAGGTTCTTCAATGCATTTTTGAAATGACAAAATAACCTCTATCAGGCAGTTACAACTGTGTATGCCCAGCTTTGGGGACAACAATAAAATGTATTTTTTACAGCCCTAGATCACAACAGCAGTTGCAATGCACACTGTTAACTTTATAAAGATCAGATAATCAAGCAGTTAGAAAACAGGAAATACAATAATAACAAACATAGAACTTACCACATAGGGAGCAGGATAACCAATGTCCACAGATGTTATTAAACGTCCATAAATGTCTTTTAGAACATTATCCGCAAGGACAAGTCAAGAAACCCAAAAAGCATAAGTTCTGTTTGGAGTCGGGGTTCAAGCACCACTGCCCCTTTGTACAAATTCACGTGTGTGTTCCGTTCAAATGGCCGCATACGTTTTCTATAAAAGACAGAACTAAAGTGTTATTAGTGTATCATATTCAGATTTATTTAATCCCTGTAAATCAACAGATTTATTGTCAAAATAGTTCTGACAATATATACAGTATACTGTATGATAATTGGAACAACTGTTCCATATATCATTTTGGTATCGGCCCTGAGAAAGCCATACCGGTCGAGCCCTACTCTTCTACTCAAGCCCCTCCCCGGTATAATTGCACCATGTTAGTCTTTGGTGAAATATGTCTCATCACTTGTTACCTACCATCAAGACTATTTTCTGACATTTAGACTTTCCATACAATAGAATGGTTTGAAACAAAACATGTTTTAGAATGTCTCAGTCGAAGCACGGTCCAAAATCCAGCATGGAGAATGAGAATGACCTCTTTCCCTCACGTCCAACAACAATGTATGGGAGCAGTATCTCTCTCTCTCTTTTTATGCTTTCTGTGTTTTAAAACTGATCTTATCCAAACTAAGGATGTGAATGTGCTCAGTACCCTTGAGTTCTCGGTATGTATGCAGCCGTTCCTCCGGACTAATACGAGCTAGAACCTCCCTAGTTTCCGGGGGAGAGGGGGCGGCCCAAGAAGAGACCAAAAAACCACATAACTCCTTTTTGGAAGGGCACTATTTGGGGGGGGGATACCATGGAGGTCCTCCAGAGGAAAATGGAGGACCAAGAAGACTGATTCAGCTAAAACCTTCGGCTCAGAATGGACAGTGCAGCACCTATAAACTGCTATAAGCCTCTGAAACTGGAGGACCACTGGACCAGTGCCAGGCAATCCCATCCTAACACCAGACCAAGGCCAGCACACCAGTGTCGGTGGGTGCAAAATGGGTGGTGGGTTTTAATAAGATTTTATGTGTATTTACATTTTTATGTATGTTGTGTGTGCTTTTAACATTGTTTTCTTGCACCACCTGAAGCACCGCGGCTCCCCACGTGACAATTAGAACACCTGTGCCTTGGGTACAAAAGGCGATGGGGAGGAGGAGGAGGAGGAGGAGGAGGAGGAGGAAGCCGTAGCCTGTTTTTGGCACAATGGAATCGTCCACAGTCCGGTCGTATAAACTGTCCATTTCACAGGTGTTGGCTTCTCATCCTCAACATTTAAATAACACAATCCAGAATACTTTTTAGACAAAGCTTTTGCGCGACAATGAGAAAAACCTCAGTTAGAAGAACAAAGGCCATGGCAAGCTTTGAACACTCTGAACATAACTTGATCACATTGTACTACAACATTGTTATTATTTTAACCATGCATGTTTAATGAGTGTTTTAACCATGCATCCTTAACCAGCGTTTATAGTGGTTTTCTTGACAAATATGACTTCTGACTTGGTTAACCTTATTCAAGAATCCAGTTCATAATACAGTAGATCCATGTCCAGGACACATCATGGAACTGCTTCACATTTTCTTACTTTATGACTACAAAAATAAGTATATTTTGTTGTATTTTTTGTGAAACAACCAAAGGTCCCAAAAGAACAGAGAGCTCCTTCCTGCAGCTCTTAGATCCTCTCACAAACCTCGCGTTCTTGTGTCTCATTCTTATCTTGTAAAGCACTTTTTGATGCTTTGAGCAGGTGTTTGTTTTTGAGCTCATGTCAATCAATCAATCAAATTTTATTTATAAAGCGCTTTTCATACATAAGATGCAACACAAAGTGCTTTACAGATTGGTTAAAAACAATCCCGCCGGCCCAAGACCCCTCCCCCAGACCACCCAACAGACCCCCCCCAAACCACAGACAAACACACACACACGCGCTCATGAACACTCATACACACACACACACACACATACACGTTTTTGTTACCTGGTGGGTCCCTTTGACAGGGCCGTTCAGAATGGGACCCATAGACATAATCTTTTTTTACCAAGACTTTAAGTAATACAAAACAGTCAATAGAAACCAAACAACTATTTTAAAGGAATTTTATTTTAGATTTTGTTTTCGAATTGCAGTGATTCTATTTTTGACATAGAATTTAATGCCACTCCATGTCCGATGTCTAAGGTCATCTGGTGAGGCATTAATGCAGGCCAGGCAGTGAGACTTCCCAGGGACCTTTCCAGTCTGTATGAAAGGTGTCATGGTCTTCTCCACAGCCTTCACCTCAGATGCAGACCATGGCTTTCTTACACGTTCTAGGGAGAGAAATAAAAATATATTAGCAATATACACTCCCAGGGTGAGGACCAAGCAGCCTGGCTGTAATCCCCCACCTGGTACACTTACCAGAAGGGGCACTGCCACTACCATGGGGTGCATCTGGATGAATGGTTGAAGGTTCTCCGCTTGAAGTTTCTTTTAGCCCGTCCGTTTGTGAGAGGATCTCTACTGCTCTCCCTGTCGCACAGAAAATAAAAATACAAGTGGCCTTTAGGGGAAAAAAATCATACATATTTTAATAATATCAAGAATTACCTTCAGGCTCAATTTGTATCTGGTCGAGGCTCTTTCCTTCGAATTCCGTCACTCTTCCCTGCTCCATGGCCATCAACACTTTGCTGATTTTGGCCAGCTCCAGTGTCCCCTCTGGTAGTCTGTAATATTGCCTGTGGATGCGAATGTCATGGCCGAGGAAGTTGGCAAGTATGTCCATCTCATTCTCTTTCATATTGAGAACTGTAGACATAGTAGCTATGTGCTTTCTAAGTTTGGTTGAGGATAGCATCTCTGGATGCACCGCACCACATTCTTTGGCTACCTGGCGTAGGGAGTCTGATCCCCTGATGTGGGTGTCTGCGCCCGGGCGGGAAAAGAAGTATGGGTTATGGTCAGAGATGGAACAGGCCCTTCTGTTCTCCACCAGCACCTCCATCGAAGCAATCATTTCAGGAGTCAAAAGAACCGGCACTTTCCGACTTCTTTTCCCTTTAATTTCAATGCGTTGAAAATGCTGACACAGCTTTTTCTCAAGTTGGGACAGTCCCAGAGCAATGTCAGAATGGATCCCAGTCTTACTTCTTAAGGTAAAGGCTGTCAGTGGCATCTTTGAAACCTCACCTTCCCTTCTTCGATTGAAAATGATGACCTCACAAAGAGTCAAAACTGCCAGTTTAGACCAATGCTTAGACGTTGGCTCACTTATTAGGGTTTGCACATATTCAGGTCGACATACCTCAATATGTGCATGCATGGCTCTAACGTCCTCAGTCAGAGGGAGCAGGTCCGGAGTGTTCCACTTGGCTTGCCGGAGGGTCTGTAGGGCAGCAGAAGAAACACAGACGTCCCACCTCTTCTCAAAAAGCAGCCGGCTTCGTTGGAGGTTTTTAATAAATAGTTCATCAACACAATGCTCCATTTTTGAGTCACATTCAAGAATATCTGCTAGCTTTCTGAGGCTATGGCCGAGTTTGAGGGCCAAGGATGGAGTCTTGTATTGATTTGTTTCCTCATCATATCCAGCCACAGACCTGACTGCATCAATCACATGGTTAAAGTTGGAAGGAATAAAGAAATCCTTAATTGTTTTCAGTTTCCCTGCGGTTTTTGCTTCGTTAATTAACCTACCGACTTCTCTCATTTTCTGCCTAATGTAATCATGCTTTGTCTTATCATGCCCGTGTTTTAAGTACAGGTGCTCTCCGAGTCTCAGAATCCCCTTTTCTGCTTTGACAACACCCGTGACCTCATCCTGATGCATTGCCGAAATTAAAGACCACAGCTTTTTGCTGATGCCCTCCGGTACAGGCTGGGCTAGGGAGCAGAGGGACTGGACCCTACTTCTACCTGGTTTAGCCTGGGCATCTTTCTGTGAAAGCCGGCACCTGGCCACATGCCTCCACAGCGACTTTCGCTTAAGCAATGCCCCACAGTCTATACAGTGCAAAAACTCACTGGATTTAACTGGGGAATTTGGCTGTTTAGCTGGGACTAAAGTTCCAATGCCGGCCTTTAAAACCTCAAAATTGTGCTCACGGTTTCCACTATTCCTGATCAAATCAAACTGAAGTTTACGTGCTTTAGATTTCAC